TTCTTTAAAGGTAAAGACAGTCTTTTATTTATCTTTGCTTCCCTGTCAGATTCTTAATAACTGTTGAATAGATTAATACATATACACGTGTGTGGGTATGTGTATATATTATTTACATATATAGATATGTGTGTGTGTGTGTGTGTGTGTGTGTGTGTGTGTGTATGCATATTTATTTGTTTAGAGCAAAGGCTTTAAGAAGCTGTCAAATCAGAGTTTGATTCCCAGGCCTTTCACTTACCATCAATGAGACCAAAAGTGACCTCAGGTACATTACTTAAACTTTTTCACCTTCAGCTTCTTCATTTCCTATTCTGAAGAGTTGCTGTATGCAGTAACAGAATGTAACATTCCTAACATGGTACCAAATGTTACTGAAATACTCAAAAACTCTTTGCTGCCATAGTGAACATGTTAATGCCAACCTGAGTAAGGTAATGAAGATTGCTGAAAGCAGTGCCCTGTCTCTACTAAGGTAGACATTGTCCCATGTTGGTTTCCAGGACCATGTTGAGATTGATGGGCAGACACCAACATATAATAGATTCCTAAATGGCTGATTCCACGCTTAACGCAAGGCATGCTCAAGATGAATGTGGAACATATTGTTATATCAGACAAGGAAAGAATACAAGTATATCAAAGATAAGGTTTTCTGTATCAGTATTTTATTTTACATGAAAAAGCATTATTTAAAAATAAAATAAATGGGAGACTTCGCTTCCAGCCAAGATGGAGTAGCTTATGGTAGACCAATTTTCATGCCAAAAGAAAAACCCCAAAAATAAATGCTGCATAAAATCTCTTTGAAATCTTTTTTAAGGCATCAACAAATTGCTGCAACAGAAAGAACTTGAGCATCAAGTCCTGGGAAAGGATAAATCTCGTGTTAGTGAGCCAAAAGTCTGCAGCCTCTTTCATCCTAAATCATTTACTGATTCTAGGCATGGAGTAAGAATGAGGATCTAGAACAACAGGCAACTGGTAAGGGACAGAGAAATCAACAGAACCTTTGCCAGTATCAAAAGGCATTGAAAAACAAAAATGAGACTATACTTTGTCAGAATACCAAATGTGGGGGAGCGGTGGAGAATTTGGCCAAACACTTTGCCTGTTTACCCATTAAGATGTTTCCTGAATTCTGAAGCTGTGCATAATGTTACGTTAAAGAGCTATGCAACAAAACAAAACACCTCTGCTTAGATCCAAAAATTCAAAATCTCTGAAAAGAATAAATTTTGGGGGAAGAGTCTAGATACTGAGGATACAAGTATTAAAGTTCAGAAAATGCCAGTGGGGACAGATCCAGCAAACACTCAATTAGAAAACCTTTGGATGACTACATCCTGCAAGGGGGAAAATGAGGGTAAATCAAAAGTAGAGTCTTATTAAAACTGCAATCCAGCTTAATTGAATCAACCCTGATTGAATTAAGGTGATCAATCCCCACTACCTAGTAGAAGAGTGATCCCTTTGCATAGGAAGCTATCACCATCCAGAGTCTCTACAATTTGTCATCCGCATTCAATCAGAAATTAGCAGGCATAACCCATATCCCTCATATCAACAAAGTGGACCAAATGACCAGAAACCAATGAGAGAAAAAGACAATAGAAAGAATGTCAAAGAAAATCTAAATCATGGAGTTACCAAACATTAACTTTCGAGTAACTGATATTAGTCCAAGAAAAACACAAAGAAAACAGAAGATAAATTCCCCAGAGAATTAAAACCCATTGAAAAGAGATAAATGGATTTTCTAGATCTGAAAAATATAAGAACTGAAATTAAGAACTCAACAGACGGGGTTTACCAGTGGAAGAGATAAATGAATGGCAAGATAGAACAATTTAGAAAATATCTAGTCTGAAGCACAAAGAGAAAAAAAGCATGGGACACACACAAGGGAACAGAAGACATATGGAATACAGTAAAGGGTGGAGAGGGAGAAAATGGGACAGAAATAATATCTGAAAATACAATGTCCAAAATTGATCAAAGACATCAACCCACAAATTCAAGAAGCTCTCTAATCACCAAGCAGGAAAATGAAAATAAACTCACACTAAGTACATTATAGTAAAACTACTGAAAACCAAAATAAGGAGAAAAATCTCTGAAGCAGCAGGGATGTGGTGGGGGTAAAAATTAGCTCTGAAAGAAAGAACAACAAAGAGAAAAATCACTGACTTTTCAACAGAAACAGTATAAGCCAGAACAATGGAATTACATCTTTAACGGCCTTAAAGAAAGACCTCCTAGATGCAGTTAATAGAAGAGAGAATTAGTAAACTACAAGATAGCTATAAAATTATTCCAAAATATAGCAGAGATATAAAAATATAAAAGACAGATTGAGAGACACGGCTACCATAACATGGTCTTATATTTAATCAAAGTTCCAGAAAAAACACAGGCAATACTGAAAGAGAAAATGGTTTAATAATTTTCCAAGGCTGCTTAAAGATACCATTGTACAGATTCAAGAAGCCCCCCAAAAAATCTCAAGCAGGAAAAAAAACCCACAAACAAACCACCAGTGTGCTAGTCATTGTTCTGTTGTTTCTTCAGTCCAAGCTCATCTTTCTAAACTCTACGGTTATACCAGAGCTGCAACTCTGTAAACTACATTTCCCAGATTCCCTTACCAGCTGGCTTCTGTTGGGTTCTGCCAATGGAAACCACTAGAGGGAGATTAGATAGCAGTAAAAAAATAGCGGTTGCCCTACTAGACCTGATGTTTTTTTGGATGAGACAATTTTATACATTAAGCCCAGAAATGTAGGGGTTAGTCATTACTGTAGCAAAAGCCTATCCTAACCTAATAAAATATGCAAAAAAATTAAAAGTAAATCCCTGTACTTCATACCATATAAAAAGATAAAACTAAAAGACTATATAACCTTCAGAAGAGACCATAGGAAATGTCTTTATAATCTTGGGATATAGGATTTCTTCTTTTTAAAATTTTTTTATTGATTTATTTGTAGAGTCTGGGTCTCACTATGTTGCCCAAGCTGGTCTTGAACTCCTGACCTCAAGCAATCCTCCTACCTCAGTTTCCCAAAGTGTTGGGATTGCAGGTATGAGCCACTGTTGCTGGTTCTGGATTTCTTAAATAAAACATAAAAAGCATAAACAAAAGAGAAAAATCTTGATAACTTTGACCAAAAAATTAAGAACTTCTGTTTAACAAAAGACAAAACTAAGAGTAAAAAAACAAACCACAAAAGACAGTATTTGCAACACAGATAACAAAGGCCTGTGTCCACAATATATTAAAAACTCCTATGAAGCAGTAAGAAAAATACTTAAAGAAACCTAATAACTAATACAAATATGGAAAATTGTTCACCATCATCAATGTTAAAACAGATGGCATACATGTACTGTCTTAGGTAGAGCTGCTGTAACAAAATACCATATACTGAATTAAACAAAAACATTTATTTCTCACCCTTCTGGAGACTGTACAGTCCAAGATCAAAGTGCTAGCAGATTTGTGTCTGGTGAGGGCCTATTTCCTGGCTCATAGACAGGCATCTTCTTGCTGTGTTTTCACATGGCAGAAAGAAGGCTAGAGAGTTGCCTGTGGTCTCTTTTATAAGGACACTAATCCTATGGACCCATGGAAGGTCCATGCTAGTGACCTAATTACCTCCCATATCCTAATATCATCACATTGGGGGTTAGGATTTCAACATAAGAATTTTGGGGAAGGCCGGGCTCAGTGGCTCAGACTGTAATCTCAGCACTTTGGGAGGCCGAGGTGAGTGGATTGCCTGAGCCCGCCGGTTCGAGACCCACCTGGGCAACTTGGCGAGACCTCATCTCTACAATAAATCAAAAATTAGCCAGGCGTGGTAGCGTGCACCTGTAGTTCCAGCTACTTGGAAGGCTGAGGCAGAAGGATCGCGCCCGGAGCCCATCAGATCGAGGCTGTGGTGGCCGGGAGCAGCCACTGCACTCCAGTCTAGGTGACAGAGTGAGACTCCAACTCAAAAAAAAAAAGAATTTTGGGGAGACACAAATATTCATTCCACATAACATGTACCAAGCTAGCTAGAATGCAAAAAGTATGACAATTCCAAATATTGGAGAAGTCTGAGGTAATAAGAACTCTCATTTACTCCTTGTGAGAATGTGTATAACCACCTTGGAATATATTATATGGTAAAGCTGAAGACATCTACTAAAACTCTACACTTCCAGACCTAGATACAAATCCTACAGAAGTATGTGTTTATGTGCACCAGGAATCATGTATAAAAATGCTTATCACAGTATGATTCATAATATACAGAGAATGAAAACAACTCCAATGTCTATGAACAGTATTTTGGCTGTATTATGGTACAGTCCTATAATATGCATCCGCAACACTGAATGAGCTATGAAAATTAAAACTACAGCTACACAGCAACATTAAAAATACTGTTGAACAAAAGTCACACAGCCAAAAACATATACTCTGATTCCATTAGTAAAACGTTCGCAATCAGGGAAAACAGAATAACTGCTTATTTAGGGATCTAATCACAGATGGTAAAACTACAAAGACAAGCAAAGGAATGACTACCACAAATCACTAGACTGTGGTTACCTCCAAAGTGCTGGGGGCGCAGGGAGGGAGATGTGATCCGGGAGGGAATCCCAAGGGGCTCCTGAGGTACTGATTTGAAAATGCACTCTCTTCTCTAACCTGGGTGGTGGTGACACAGGTGCTCCTGCTCACCTTCAAATTCTTTAAAGTCAAAACAGATTTCAAATTGTAACAGTGTTAAAACCATGTTCTCTATGTTCTCTGGTAGACAAAGAGTCCACTTTCCAGAAAGGGAAGCTTAGAGGAGACACAAGTGTTGAAACCAGGTCTAGAACCCAAGGCCAGGGTTTTGCCACTAAAGCATTCATTATCCAGGCCTGCCTGCACAGAGGCAATGCATAAGAAATGATGAACTTGGCAAAGCTTCCAGTCTTAAAAAATACTCCAAATACGGCTCTTTAAGGCTTCTGGCAGGGATATTTTATTTTTTGGATAAAGCCACAACTGATAGAAATGCCATAAAAACAAACATGTAAACAAGGTATCTGAACTTTGGTTCACTGAAACATCTCACACCTAAAATATCTGAGGTACAAAGGCATCTTGCTAGCCGCTAGACAGCCTAACTCTGCTGCAGCAACTCTGACCCTAGTCTTGGGCCAGAGCTGGCGCAGGCTCACCAAAGAGGCTGGGACCCGGGACACACAGGACCTGACCCAGTACAGTCTCCCTCCACTCCAGAAAAATATTCACTTCTCCAAAGACCTGCCTGATAGAAACTGGAACTTATACAAAGGTATCTGTCACGTTGAACTTGAAGATGACATGGGCTGTAGCACCAGGAAGGGGAAGGACAGAAAAGGACGTCAGTCAACTTCTGTTGATCCACAAGGCCTCAAGAACTCCTGTCCTCGTTCATGGAACCACTTATTGGAGACTGTGAACAGAAAGCAAGGATGTTACAATCCTATTGATCAGTTTAGCAGACAAAATGAATGACTTCTCTATGATGACCCCTGCACTGTGCCCTGGCAATCAAACACAAGTAAGACACAGTTTGAGGCCTTAAGTTGCTTATGAATTGGTAAGGAAGACACATGTGTAGGCAGATAATTGTAAAAAAATTCTTTGACACAAGATACGTGTGTGTAAGCTGCCATGGGAACAGAGGAAGAGGGCATCTAACCATGTGAAGAAAGAGAAAATCGCAGGGTGTAACACAAAGCTGAATAGAAGCTATCCTGGGAAGAAGATGGACAAACACATATGGCTCCCTCCTCAAGGGGGTCCCAGCAAGTGGAAATAGGATGAGAAAGTCATCAAGGCAGGAACCATTCTGGCATGTGTCAAGGACCTCAAAAAGCCTGATATTACTGGGAGGTGGCAGATGGAAACTGAGAGGTAGGGCATGAGGATGAGGAAGCCCGTCAGCACTGTAGAGGGCTTGGACGTCAACCTCAGGTGCTGTGGGCCAGCAGATCCAATCTGTGTGCTATGGGCACAAGAGCAGCAAAGCTGGTGCCAGCATTGCTTGTCACCTAAAGCCATGTCTTCAAACACACAGGAACCATGATTCGGTTCCTCAAACACAGATTCTCTCATAATAAAAAAATTATTTCCACTTATGACCTCATGAAGCTTTCTAAATACAATTTAACTTAAAGTAATACATACATTTCATTAAAAAATAAAATTGTCTGCAAGACTTCTCATAACAAATGGCAATCTCCTAAAATACCCCCTTCTTACTCCCAACCCCCACTACCAGAGAACAGTCAACTCCTTTGTTTCTTCTGATATTTAACCTCATTTTTCTAGAAAACATGCTTACAGTTCTATTTCTTGACTTTCAAATTTGGAATTATTTTATTCTATCCTTAAATTATATACTATGCCCTTCAATCTTCCTAACAGGTAAATCACAAGGTTTAGTTAGATTAACATTCAGCATTTACATTATTATGTCACGTAAATGTTGCTCACACCTAGTCATCTAATAGATTATATTTACATTTCCTTTTTTGAACAACTTTTCCCCCGAATTCAGCAAATGCTTCATCTTCTCTTTCATTTGCTTTATTTTCTGTGAACCTACTGCTAGTTATTCCTGAAACTCTCCAAGAGGGCTACACACTCGTCTCTTTGCAATTTCTTTTTGTCACATCCTGGTCTAAGCCCTTCCACAGCTCACCACGGCTGTTTCCCAGAATAAGGCTCAAGCTTCAGTCTCTGCAGTTTGGTCCCAGCCTCTAGCCTCATCTGTTGGCCCCTGTGCCACAGGCCTCTCCTTCTTCAAGCAACAAGAGAGCCAGCCTCCATGATTATGATGCTGGTGTTAGGCCGTGCATTGGTCCAGGGGTGCCTTGCTTGCCTGGGACACTCTTTCCCCTCTCTGCTTCAGCTCTCCCTCTGTTCCCTCAGAACCCTTGTTAGAGCCCACTAGTCTGGAAAGCCATCCTGAGCCTATGGTGCTTATGCAGCTGTTCTTCCTCAGGGCTTCCTCAGCTCTCTGCATATCTCCTAGTGTTCCCAACCAGCTAATGGCACACAGCCAGCTGAATGAACAGCTACATGGCTGGATGGTACTATCAGTTAGCACTAAAAAACCTAAGAAGTGAGACAGTCTTGGCTTTGAGCAAATTTGGCTGCTGTTGTCTCCTGGTTCAGAGTCTAAGGCCAACCATCAAAGCCCAAGTTGAGACTATGAAGGCCAACACCACCCTTTAAGCCACTCACCCCACTTGCAGCCCACAAGCACAGGGCAGGCAGCATGTCTCGTTCGGTAGTCACCTTCCCCGCTCCGCAGGAGATTATACCAGAATACAGCTGTACCCTGGGAAAGAGATGGCCTGTCAGAACACATTCTTGGAAACTGGGCTCAGGGACCTGACCCCGAACACCCAGAACCCCTGTCCTGAACAGAAACATCTTCACTTTCCCATGTATAGGGGACAGAACACTGGGACTCCAGCAATACAGGCATTTCCCAGAAAGCACCTACCATTCATGGTGGGGTGAAAGTCTGGAAACACACCTGCCCCTGAAAGGGCTTTCCTCCCTGTCCCTTCTTCCCAAGAAGAAGCTGGGACTGTAGGGTTGGAGTCCAGGTAGGCTAAGGCACATCACAGTGACATTCAAGCAGGCCAGGTAACAGGACAGAGAAACATGGATAAAGTCTGAGCCCTGCTTCAATCTCTGACCCACAAGAATTAGAACTTACCTTCTTAGGCCAAATTGCAGCCCCCAGATCAGGGAAGACGGTAGCACCACCAGCTTCTACATCACTCATCTGGAAATATAAGGTATAGAGTTTGGACCTTCTACCCAAGCTTCCAGAACCACTGAGCCTCAACGGACAAAAGCATGCAGATCACCCTCCTCTGAGGGTGAGTGGCACCACTTGGAGGCTCTGTTCCATGACCAGCACTTTGGCCAAGAAAGGCTCTTCCCGCATGTAATCAGTATCATTTGTTAGGACAGTCTCCATGTCACGGGCACTCAAGAGTTGAGGCCCACAGAAGACCCACATCTGGGCTGACCTTGCGTGGTAACAACATGAGTCTGTTCCAAAAAAGACCTGTTCCAAACCCTACCCCTTGAATCCCCTTCCAGCCTGTACCTTGCCTAAGCCTCTGAGCCCAGCAAACTGCCCTGACGGGAGGCTCCCTGCTACATCCAATGCCACGTGTAGATCCCGCTGGGGCTCTGTTTCTTGGCTCTAGTAGTTGGCTACGCTAGACAGACTCTCACCTTCCTAGAACAGTCATGCTCATGTTGAAAATATTACATGTGGCACACTCTTGCTGCTGTGGAACTTGTGTTCAGTTTAGTTTAAGGCCTCACCATGGGAAAGAATAGGGCCTCTAGAGAGACAGCACCCACCTATCCACTCAGGAGGCCCCAGGGAAGGTGGCTATTCTAGTAGTGCTTCTTTTCCACTTGACTGTCTTACTTAAAGTTTTTTGTCCATAATGTAATAAAAATTGGAGCTAAAAAATATTTCCACAGGACACATACCAGACTGACTGAAGGGTACTCGACAGACATATGGTAAATGAGTAAGACAAAAACCTCAGATGGCATCTCACCGCCCTGGGGATTAAACCTAGCCTCTTTTCTGGAAACCCAAGGCCCTGCCAGTCTCACTAGCCTCTTTCCAGACACACCAGCCTTTGCCTATTTTTCCAACATTCCAAGCTCCTTTTCCCTTACAGGTCCACACACACTCTCTCCTCTGCCAGAAACCATGTTCCACCAGCTAATTTCTACTCAACATGTTACTTCCCAAGGGAGGCCTCCTCTGAACCCCAAGCCTAGGCTACTCCTTCATCGTACCTGTCTCCAGAACTAAATAATAATCTCTCCGAAATTTAAGTAAGGCTCTCATATGAGACCCTCAAGAACCAGAAGAGAGACCATATATGAGGTCTGACATTTATGTTTGCAAACTTGCCACTGTGTGCTTACTTTGGCAGCACTGTACAAACAACTCAGAAAGGTTTCATAACCTTGGTATATCAATGTCTCACAGCTTTGTTCATGTTGACATGTGGTGGTACTTTGATGACTGGCATTCATTATTGTTGTTGCCTCAGCAGAGGAAAGAGGAGACTGTTCTTCAAGTGAAAGGTAAACTCGATGGCCTATGGACAGAGTGAAGGCAGCAGTTGGGAACCAAGCCGGAGAGTTTGGGAAAAATAAAGGCAGCTCTCATCTCAGAGAGAGATAAAGCTATCTCCTCATTCTGCTGCCCTCTAGGGCACCCACTCCAAAAACCTAGACTAGCCCATCAAAAAGAAGCCAGAATATATGAACAGCATGAATGAAACTTGAGGATATTATGTGCCAGCCACAAAAAAAGTACTCTATGATTCCACTTATATGAGTAATCAAAATAACAGAGACAGAAAATAGAATGGTGATTGCCACGGACTAGGGGGAGGGGAATCTGGAATTATAGCTTAATGGGTATAGAGTTTCAGTTTTACAAAATGAAAATAGATGTTGGTAATGTTTGCACACTATGAATGTATTTAATACTGCTGTACTCTTAAAAATGTTAAGATGGTAAATATCACATTATGTGTATTTCACCACAATTTTAAACATTAGGGGAAAAAAAGCAGCCAGGGATGTGAAAATCCTGGTAGGGTTGTGGGTGAGGGACGGGGCCCACATGAATAAAAACAAAGGCCAACTCTCCCTACTCCATCCAAGAAGGCTGCTGAGGGCCAGAAGGACCTGGCCATTACTCAACAGCTGGTGGCATCAGCCCTGATGGGGGAGGGATGTAAGAGAGGTCGCTGGACCCAGGGTCTCCTTAGGGCCCACCAGCACACATCATACTCACGTAGTTTAAGAATGTAGCCACACGATTCCCCGTCCCTAAATGCTTGAAAACATCTCGCTCATCGTTCTATAAAATCAAGTGAGAGTAAACAGATGGGCCTGGACCCAATACTTACGTAGTTAAGAAACGTCGCTAACCTATTCCCTTCTGTTTTGAGGCCGCTGTCAAAAGGTCGCTGCAACAGACAACAACTTTCATCCACGTTTACAACCAACTTCACCCACCACCCACAGGACTAGGGCCAAAAGGGTCAGAGAAAGGTAATAAGCATGTGTTCCATAAATCAGCCTGGAACATGTGCCGAGGCAGCAATCAGGGCATGGAGTTGGCGAGAGAGAGCAAGAGAGGCAAGAACAATTTTCACAAAGACCTAGTAAGGCCTTTTGCAAAGAATGACAGGCTTAGGACAGGGAAAAACTTCCCCACATCTACAGGGGAAACAGCCAAGTTCCACTGGGCTCTGCAGACCCCTTGGTTCCAGACCGGGGCTTCATCAGTAACACCCTGGGTGAGTAATCACCCTGGTGAGGCAGAGGTGAGGGAAGGACAGATAGCAGGGGTGCTGATGTGGAGGTTGAAATGTTCCTAAAAGCCCCAACCTTCCAAACCAGCTGAACCCTTTAAAACAGGACCCTTTGAAAGTACCCATGATTTGGGCTTACCCTAGAGAAGTCAAAGTGCGGTTCATATTGTCCTCCCATTCCATAGTTTGCAACCTGGTGGGAAACAACAGCATTGGACCTCGTCAGCAGCATGAATATCCTTGTAGCAGCTTGTCTTTCCAAGGTCATCATCTCCCCAGGTCTGTAAACAACAGCCTCTCTAAGGTAGAAGACAACGATGCCCTGCCAGCACAGTCAGAGCAAGAATCACAAACATGTCTATAACTGTGTCCAAATGTACACAAATGTGGTTTCCCAAACAAAGTACGATGGGTGAGCTCCAGATGATCACTGTGCAGAAGCTCCAGCCCTTGATGGACACTCAAATGGTAGCCAACGGAGCCACCCGCTTCAGGCAGGCCCCGGCCTGGGTCCTGTTTGTTTGGGAGATAATAAGAAGGTATCCAGAGGAAAGTCAACAATAAACAAAACTAGGATTTATCTTTTAACGCTAGTTTTGGAGTTACTCAGTGCCTGGCACTGCTCCTGCCACCTCTGCCACATGCCCCAGTAGCTGTTTCCGCTCAGGCTGAGCAGAGCAAATTCCCACAGTGGTCTGCTGCATGAAGTGCTTTTGCATCCAAGTGAAGCAGCAGGACATGGGTGGTCAGCTGCTGGTTGACCAAGAATTGCTGCAAGACCTCAGGACCCCCCAGTGTGAGACTGAACCTGCAGTAAGACTCGAGCCACAGCAACTACAGGTGTCAATAATTGGATTAGAAATGGCAAATGCCTTTATGAACAGTTTATCAGAACAATGTAAGGTCCTAAATCACAATGATGACTTTAGCTTTCACAGACAGAATGAGACAAGGTTCAAGATGAAGTGCAAAATCTGATATGGAAGCTGATGGATTAAGTGGCATTACCAATGTCCATCTGGGAACAGCTGGCTACATATCTTATTGAAACCAGAAAAACTTCTGGGACTCAGTCATTAGTTAGCAGAAAATTGGCATTTTTTGGTATATCCTTTTAGCCAGTTCCAACAGTCAGGTTAGAGATGCTACAAAGCTGGCAATAACTGAAAAATACAGAATTGTGGGAAAGAAAGGGATGATGGACTTTACAAGAGAGGCAATCCTTTTGCTGGTGCCCAAAAAGTTTGCCAAATGTGATAAAATGCAAAATTTGGGCAATATGATTTTCAGCGTCTACAAAAATAAACATTTTGATATGAAGAATCAGTGATGGAAAGACAATGTCATCTACTGTTTCAGCCTTCAAGATTCTTGTACCAAAAATATTTGGAAATTCTGACAAGAGTGCAAGGAGGCCTGTTTCAGTAGGTGGGCCCAAAGCTGGAGATGCACCTAAGGAGGAAAATGCCAGAGCAGTTGACAAAATGTTGTTACAAATGCTTTTTACAAATACACCTTTTCTTTGGATCCATTAAAGTCAAGAACTTGAAGAAAATTTTAAACACGACTGAATGCTGTGCCAATGCACTCCGGAAAATTCAGTCACTGTTTGTTGCTAGCACTACAGAGTATGACTTGGATGAATTCCAACACTTTCACTTGCTGGATGGATTGCTTAAACTTTCAGATCCCAGGTAGTGAGAGGAGCTGCACTGCTATAGCTAGCATAGTCTGGAGATTTATATTTTATCATGTTGCTGCCACTTCTCCTATACTCTCTAATCCTGTTCCCATATAAGTACCAAAGGCATGGGAAAGTCTGGATTTACCACAATAAGATTTGCTATCCAGGCACACACAAATCCCTAGACTCACACCTTTAATAACAAGCAACTGTACATCAAAACTAGTTCCTATGAGGAGGTATTTATTTAAATCTACAGACTTTGCTCTATTCACAATAGCAAAAACATGGAACCAACCATGCTGCCCATCGAAGCTGAATGGATAAAAAAGATGTGGTACATATACCCAATGGAATATTATGCAGCCACAGAGAAGGACAAATATATGGACTTCGCAGCAACTTGGATGGATTTGGAGTCAATCATGCTCAGTGATCTATCACAGAAACAAAGAACAGAGTACCATATGTTCTCATTCATAAGCGAACCCTGAACAATTATAATACTATAAGAAAGGGATTGGCAGTAGTGGGAAACTACCAGGGGAGGTGGGGTGGGATTGGCAGTTGAGGGAAACTGCTAGGGGAGGGAGGGGCACACCTTATCAACAAGGGTACCTACATAATCAATGTTTGTACACCTATCCCTGAATTGCACCCCACACCTTTAAATTTAAAAAAAAGGAGCCAGGCTCGGTGGTTCAGTCTATAATCCCGCGCCTTTGGGAGGCCGAGGTGAGTGGATTGCCTAAGCTCGCGGGTTCGAGACCTGCCTGGGTAACTTGGCGAGACCTCATCTCTACAATAGATCAAAATGAGCCAGGTGTGGTAGCGCGCGCCTGTAGTTCCAGCTACTGGGAAGGATCGCCAGAGGCGGAAGGATCGCCGGAGCCCAGCAGGTTGAGGCTGCAGTGGCCAGGAGCAGCCACTACACTCCAGTCTGGGTGACAGAGTGAGACTCCAACTCAAAAAAAAAAAAAATTTTAAAAAAAGGAATAGGAAAAAATAAAATAAATAAATCTACAGACTTCTTGTTACAAGAGTCAGTTACTTGAAAGACATGAGTATTTATGATTCTGAGGTCATACTAAGGGGGAAAAAGGTTAGAAATTACTGGTGAGGTAAGACATCACTGAGCCAGCAGTCTTCAATTTTAATAGAATCCTGGAGGTGTAGCATCTCTTCCTCTAGCAGACAGACCCTCGTCCAATTTACCAGGAAACCTCAATTGCCCTCTTCTTCCAAATGGTCTATAGGAGACACATCAACTACAGCTGAAAGAGTGTCAATAAGTAGAAGAACCAGCTCATTTCAGAAACCCTGTAGCATACCCAAAGGGATCCTAGTGGACCCTGGCGCCTAGGCATTTATCACACTGCAAGTGGCCCATGTGGAGTGAGGACTTAGGGACGAATGCTGAAATCCAAGTTCCTGGTCCCCAGACCATGAAGGGTCAAAGCTTTCAATACCATAGCTGGCAAAGGAAATGTCAAGACAATTCCTAAAAGAATGCAAACAAAAATGATATCTCAACCACTTGGTAGCTGTGGCCTGACCTTCCAGAAGAGCCCTGTCAATAAGAGCCGCTCCACCAAGCGGTCTAGCATTCAGACCCCAGACAATTGAGCTTTAACATGGTAAGAGGCCAGACAAGATGAAGTAGTCAGGGTTGTAGCAGAGAAGGCAGTCTATAGCCAAGAAGCTGCTGCCTTCTGCAGTTGAGTATGAGACGAGGTTGCAGAGAATGCTGCTGGGAAGCTAACCAGGAAAGCAACAGAGGCACAGGTCCTGTCTACTCAGCCTCTTGGTCTAAGGCATGAAATCAGCCAATCAAGTAGACTGTTGTCCTTGATCAGGGTCATGAGAGTTCTGAACATTGACTCTAATGTAGAAGAAGCAGCGGCAGATATCTTTTAAAAAAAAAAAAACACTCCAAGAAGATATGAATCAAGATAATGTCAACAGGGATGCATTTAGAGCTTCAAGAGCTCCCCCTGCTCTTGAAATGGCAGTACTCTCATACATATAAGGCAAGTGAGAGATATGGTGGAAGTCCTCTATTGGTGTGCTTATCTGCAGAACTTACTTTAAAATTACAGAACACTAAGCAGAACTAAAATGAGAAAATTATATAACATTTCACAATACTGCAAGGTAATCAGCATGTTTTTGAAAACTTTGGTGGACTTCACACAAATCCATAAAAATGAGCTTCAAAACTGGTTTTCCAATTGTTGATGCAGCTACAGAGGAAAAAAAAAAACGAGAGCTGATTTGCCTGGGAATGTCTGGGCAAAAGTTCAGGGAATCCTTTCCAAATGATTTTCAGCCAATATTCTAATGAAATCTATGACTGATGAGACCCAAACACCAAGCCTAAAGGTAAAGTTTGCTATCCTTAAACATACAGAAACTCTGCTATCTTCAAATATACAGAGAGTTCTTGGGGGGGGGGGCTCTAAAAAGATCCCAGTGAAACTTCTCTGACAGTGTCTCAGGTCATCAATTACAACAGAAACCAGAAGTTCCAGTGTTCAGAAGGGAGTGTAGCCAGTGCTGATTTGAACTCAATATGCAAGAAGATACACTATTAAGGAGTTTTCTCCAAAATCTTTCAGCATGGTGTTGCCATGTTTCTTCATACTCACTTTGAAATAAAGTTGAAATAAAGGCAGGAAGCCAGGGTCCCAAGGGAAGTTCTCTGACAAGACCCCTCTACTTTCACCAGCTAACCGTTCAGGTCTCTCGCTTCCACCAACATATCACAGTGCAGGGTCCTCCCACTCCCCCAGTTTTTTTGTGTCTTAACTTAAAATCAGAGTGCCTTAATCCCTCTGTGACTCAGCCAGCTGCAAACTTTTTCCAGCCGATTTGAATCCAAACTGGGGCCTTGAGTATTCCTAGGCACTGATATATGGGTGTTTAGATTGTTGCCCAAAAACCTGAAAGAAGCTGGCTCCAGTCCTGAATCAAATTCTCTAAACCCTCACATAAACTCCATACACTGACCCCACACTCTGCATGTACTTGCATAGCTTTTCCCTCACTGTTTATGACAAGGATTGCTGTAGTCCACTATGTAAGTTCCCCTAATAAATGCTTTAGACTGATCATATAGGCGTTTATTGCTTCTTTCTTTAGAATCCCAATCAGTCTCATCTCAGAACGGTTTGGGCACGCCCATGCAGGAACAACTTTTGGGACAACTTCAGCTGTGGATTTAGCAAGACAAAACACATAAAAATCTTTTCTCTCCATGTGCACCTGACTATGACACAGAACCATGACCTCTGAAGGTATTTTTAGCTCTCTCAGGGCTGTCCATGGGACCATTCAGGATTTGAGTTTCTGTAGTCAAGAAGACATGAATGATTCTCTGAACCTACAACTGCTATACAAAATAAAATCAATTTCAAAAGCTGGAAGAAAAAAAAAGAAGACATGAATGAGCCTGCTACACCCACTATTGATCCCCAGCTCCCAGCATATTGGGCATACAGTAGGTGTTAAACTGATATTTGTTGAACATTAACTGTTGAATGCCAGTGGGCATGATTAATTCTGGTTTCCCATCATAAGTTCACTCCACATTCACAGCATCAGGCAGTCATACAGTTTATTAGGCAAGCCCCTCTTGGTTTGGTCCGGGGCACCTTGTGAGACTATTTAGCCAAGAATACCCACTTCCCAACTCCTAGAGTTCCCAGGGACTAGCTGTACCTGCAACAATTCTGCAGTCTTTACTGTTAATCCTGTGATGTGCTGCATCCGACGATTTACTCGGGCTACAACAGGGTCATCATCTTCCTCCAGCCAGGAGCTAGGCCAAAAGAATAGGGCAGGAAAAGAAGATGGGAATGGCAGGCTTAGGTGAGATCCTGCACCCACTCCCCTGGCACTAATAGGCAGTCCAGGGTGAATGCTGCAAGAGGATGAGGCAGGACAAGCTGAACCACCCTCCCTTGCTTGAGTAGGCACTAAGGCTTGAGCACCACCAAATTTGCTTACCTTTTGGAAACCCTGTAGCTAGCAACTGTGAGTACGCCTGTCTTGGGATCACGAACAGTGGCTCGTGCAAGCTAGAAGGCAGGAAGAGAAGGCAGACTTATCGTTTTTTTGTCTCGAGTATTTTCCCAGAAAGCATTGGGATCAGATCTGCTGACATACTTTTGAGGGAAGAAGCTTTGTAGGCAAGCTTTGTAGGCCCTAGTCAAGGCCCATGATTTTGCAGACCAGTTAAGGGCAGGAGCCTGAGGCCTTCACATTCCCAATTGCTATCAGATCCTGCTCACTGCCATCCTCCACCACTAACCAGCCCCTCCTATGCAGGTCTGTGCTGCCTGCAGAATTACACCTATGAAGCCTGCTTTGTCCACCCATTCATCTTCCTGGCTAGCCCCATTCTTGCCAGTCCCACATACAACCGCTGCTTCAGCACAGCCTAAGCCTAGCTACTCCCAACAGATTCAGACTGTGCTACCACTCCTGAGTCTCAGACTTGTATGCATCTCTCAACTTGGTCAAGTTCCACCATCCTTCTGAACCTCAGTGGCCTCCACCAAAAAACCCAAACAAACACTCTCCTGCTGCACCACCTCACATGGGGCTCCCACAGCTGCAAGAAGAAAAGACAGTATAGTCTTCACTCCCTTGGGATCCTCACAAAGTCAGATGATAAAACTAAGAAAGGATTTCACAAGTTAAAATAAGTGAACCACTGCCTAGAAGCCACCTACCCACCATATACTTGCTCATGCACACACACACACACCCCTCACCTACCTCATGCTCCCCAAATCTCCACAAACAGGCTCAGTGATACTCCCAGGAGGGACACGCTTCCCAGAGCCTGCTCCCATGGCAAAGGTCCATGCACTTCAGCTGTGGACTGCCCTAACGACATGATGTGGGTGGGGCCGTAGGCCCAGATACCCCCACCCCAACAGCACTTACCCTTAATTTTAATAAATATTTGATGAGTGCCTACTATGTGCCTGGCACTATGCTGGGTGACTGAGACATGGCCCCTGCCCTCCTATAGCTCAGGCAAGTGGGGAAAACAGAAAACCAGCCAAGTAATCACAGCACGGCATGGCTGAGCTTAATGTCCTGTGTGAGCACAGCCTACAGGGTCAAGAATGGCTTCCTAGAGGAGGAGAACACCCAGCTGAGACCTGAGGAGTGAACACAAGTTAGCCAAGTTAGAGAACTTTACAAGAACAGGGAAGGAACAGCAATGCAGAAGCCTATGAATGAAAATGGGTATGACACTCACTGTGGGATTAAAGGTTATGGGAAGGAGTAAGAGAGGAAAAGCTGAAAATACAAGCAAGGGCCTGGGCTTGATGCAACCGTGTGGCTAACGAGACACAGGAAAGGCTTCATGGAAGGGAAGGACACTTAAAATTTGAATGTAAGATGGATGACTGTGTGAAGGCCTCATGGAGAAAGGGCTAATGAGGTGCTGGAGCAGGAACAAGGAGGCCACAGCAGAGGTCAGAGCAAGAAATGATGGTAGGCTGGGCCCGGGGATAACAGAAGAGATGGAGAAAACCACAGATTAGAAGGCTGCTCAGGGGGAAAACCCACCAACCTAGACACTGCTGCCACAACATGTTCTGGTTAAGATGGCCAGTGCACCCAGCACAGGTGGCTTTCCTGAGTTCACCCACATGAGTCCCTCCCTGATGACAATTGCAGACACAGCGAGACCCCAGTCAATCATCTGAGCCTCAGCACTGGTCTGACACCCACGAAGAGGTTCGGGGTAGCTGTGCTCTGCCCCTGGGGAAAGACAGGGCTGTTCTGAACATGGGCCAGAGACCCACAGGCAGCTGCCAAGCATTCCCCACAAGCCAAGTTAAGCTCACTGGCCCTGCTTCAAAGTCAGAATAGCATCTGTCCCTCAAAGCCTCCGGAAAGGAGAGGTCAGCTCATGAAGGCCAACATGTTTGGCTCTTCACATGGCTTCTCTTCAAAGACAAGTGTTCCCAACACTCCCTCCCCTTCCCAGCCACACACACATGTGCACACATGCACACAGAAATCTTCTCAGTGCCTGAGACTGGTAACTGGAAACTAGGAAATTAATTTTCTTCCCTGGACGACTTCAGAGCTGACCCAGGGAGTGGAAAGGGGGGTCCTGGTCCCTATTCTCCGCACTCACTGGCAGGTCCCTCCCTCAGTCACATTAAAACACCAACAACTGACTCTAAGCTCTAGAAGGGTTAGCACCTCAGGTCAAGGTTGTTCTAAGATGAGGTCCAGGAGCCAGGACAAGAACCTATTTCAGGTCTCTCCTTGAGCATCAGGCTTCCTGACCACCTTGACCACCATAATTCCCTTGGAAGCAGAGCCACAGAGAGTCCTGTTAAACCCTCCCTCCCAGTAATCAGTGATGGGATACGGCAGCAAGTGGTTCTCTTTGAAAGATGTCAAATAGGAATGAATCTTTTATGAACTAGAAACAGAGTAATTTTTTGAACATGACATATTTTCAAAACCAACAGCCAACTGCATACTTAGCAGTAAAATACCAGAGGAATTTTCGAGAAACTCAGGAATGAAACAAGGATGCCTACTGTAATAATGCTCTAGAAGTTCTGGCCAGTTCAATAAGACAGTAAAAACAAAGGGACTATAAGTATTAGGGAAGAGAAAACAAAATTTTTCTTATTTGCAGATGATAATACTATCCAGGCAACCCAAGGGAATCAGCTAAAAAACAAAAACAAAAACAACAAAAAAAAGGAATTAAGTCCAACCACTAGCTACAACCTGTACAAGTCTCAGTTTCCTCATGGGTGAAATAAAGACAGTGACACACCCTACTTAAGAAATGTAACATTTAATATATGTTAAGCACTTAGAAGATTCTGTCACACTTAACTCGATAAATATTAGCTTCTACCATGGAATATATTCTTAACAGTTTACCACATAACAGTAAACAAATATAATAATGCAACAAGTTGAAATCTAATGATGAAGAAATAAAGTTACAATAAAAAGAAACTACCTAGGAATAAACTTAAGAAATGTACAAGACTTACATGAAGGAAACTTTAAGAGCTATAAATAAATGGAGAGATTGGTCATGCTCTTGCATAAGAAGACTCAGTATCATAGATGCATACTCTCCCCCAAGTCATTCACTTCACTTGCAGTCCTAATCAGGAGCTTCACACCACCCAGCTACAAGTACCCTATGGAATAGTTCCTAAAAACTCACCCACACACCAGTTCCCAATCAAGAGAACTGACATGTCTGTGGCCCTTCCCTGCTCCCAGCATGACTTTCCATCACAGCATTGTCTGTTCACATCAGTTCTCCCATTTTTCTTCCCCACTGAACCATGAACCCCCAAATAAGGCTGAGTCTGTAGCACCTCAATATTCCCACGGTGAACTCATGCTAGATATTGATAAAGAATGGCTGGGCATGCAAATAAACTGCCCACGGTGCCAGGCATGAGAGACAGGATCTGCCTGCTTCAGCACCCTGAGAAGGATCTACAGAGACACCTACTTTGGGTTTTGCGATCTCCTTGATCCTCTCGATCTCCTCATCAGACATGACATCGTAGTACCTGACGATGTGCGGGCTGTCCCACTCGTCCTCCTCTTTGAAGGGGGCAATGAGCAGCTGTGGAGCCCTGTTGCCATGGTGGTACCTACAGAAAAGTCTCTTCTGCCTCCGGGGTGTCTGTAGAACACAGAGAACAGACCCTGAGCTGAGTAGTCCTAAACCTCAGTCCCAGTCTGGCTGTCTGCAGACACTGGTCTCACATATGGCCAGCAGCTGCTTCTTTCTGCCCTAACACAGAAGAAAACAAAAGCCCCTCAGCTTGACTGGCATGAAATGACATCTCAAAATCATGCAATTTTTCTTCCTTCCCAAGATGAACTCTTTGTCCACAAGTCCTGTGGCAGAGGGTAATTCCTGACTCCTTTCTCAGAGATTTGAGTAGGTTTGAAGGACTGGAACAGGGGAGAAGCTTTTCCAGGTGGAGGAGCCAGTGGGAACCACAGACATGGGCATGGAAAAGGCCAAGAGCCTGCCTCAAACCTGGGCCTCCCAGAGGATGCACTGGGATCCCAGGGCTCTCAGAGGCCAGTGACACCCAATATACCAAGCTCTAGCACATGCTGTGTCTCTACCACAAAGACTTACTCTCTGCTTGTACCTTGACTTTCCTCGGGGTCTGAGGCACATCCACCCATTATTTTCTTCATAACAGTAAGTCAAGCAAAAGCTGGGTAAGGAGGTGAGCTCAGGAATAACTGAGGGATCAAACTCTCCCTGGGGAACCAGGAGGGATAGTCTCCTGTCCTACACCTCAGAGAACACCCACAGGTCAACCTCAGCAAATGCTACAAAACACTGGGGGAAGAAGTCCCTACAGATAGAGGAGTATATTCCCCAAACCTGCCTGCCCAGAGCCAGAGTCCAGGACCACAGCCTGGGCGCCCTGACCCCCCTCACACATCTCACCAGTTTGACACCCTCCCCACGACAGAGGCTCTCGTACACATCCCTCTCAGGCAGGTAGTCCACAGGCCTCTCATAGATGCCTTCCTGGGTTGCTAGCTCAGCTTCTGTCTGATTAGATAACATTTTTTCTCTTTCTTCCTCCAACAACCGCTCAAAGTACCGCAGATTCCCTCCAGCTCGTTCATGGCTCGGGTCTGGAAAAAGCAAAGAACATGAAGAAAAAGGAAACCACAAACATCTGTTAGGTCGTTTAGAGAAATTATTCTGTAAACGGTTTCTCTCCCAGCAACTCACTTGCACGCTGCATTCTGCCTTCCACAGCACCTAACTAGACTATGCAGTCACGGCCAAAAAGTCAACAGAGGCTCTTCCCACCATGGTCAAAGATGGCAGAGGAGTATATCATCAGAGGGGGGAACACTTAGCTAGCCCTCAAGGGCCTCCTTCTCAGGTACCCCTGGAGGTCCCAAGCCCAGAGAAGCAGTTCAGAGTCCTGCCTCCTCCTCACAACTTGACTGTATGCCATTTACAGCTGTTCCCCAGAGTGCATCCACTATAGCTGGCCACAGACAGAAGGCAAGCTGAAATAGCAGCAAAAGGAATACCCATGCGACACTACCACAACTCTGTCTTGTGGACCTCACAACACCCAAAGCAGCAGGCATGGCAGGATTTCTGCGTCACTCCTCAGGTAAGGAAACGGAGGTCCAAAGATGTTAAAAGACTTCAGTTAAGGTTATATAGAGCAAGAATCTAGGTGTCCCGACTCTCTGTCCAAGGCTCTTACTAACACACTTGACAAAATCTACAAAGCTCTCTTTCCCCATCAGTCTTGCAAGATACTTATATACTAACTTACATCAGACTCCAGGACCAGTGAAAAGAAGCAGGATAAGAAAGTCTTTGCTGGGTTGTGAAATTCCAGACAAAGATATGCCCATATATTTGTAAAAGGTGGAATGCATGGGATTTAAAGGCAAAGTGCTTTTGGTCTTCTTCAGTCCAACATCACAAGATACAAAAAACACCAATGACATGCCAAGTCCTCCTCTTAGACCTCAGGCCTCTAGCATAGTCACTGTTTGTCACTGCAGCAACTCTAAAGAACAGTCTGCCTCTCGAGTTGGTACAGACTCAATAAAGGCTCCTTCCTGCATAGTGACAGATGCACCACAGAACTGGGTCCCTATTTAAAAGGGAACATGTGGAACCAGAAGTGCCTGAGGGTATCCACCAATGACTGGGCAAGGGCTAAGGCCAGGATGGAGGTGAGTAAGGAGCTAGCAGGCAGCTCGACTGATCCTGAAGTCAGTAAGGCATTAGTCACTGGTCAAGCAACAGAACACACCAACTCAGTCCCAGGACAGGGGTCAAGTACTGACCAGCAGACCACAGTTCCTCTGCCAGCTCCCCCTCTTCACCTTACCTTCCCCTAGAATCTCCTTACCAAGAGTGAGGAGGCGGCGAGTGAGCTCCAGGGCACGGTGCAAGTCACCCAACTGGAAGACGGCATAGCTGAGGTAGTCTAGCACCTGGGACTTGGTTGTGATACCTTCCTCCCCGGCATCAAGCTGCTTTAACACCTGCTCCATCCACAGCACTGTATGATAATAGTCTCCTTCATTGTAAGCCGACCGTCCCATTCCAAAGCAGTCATCCACACTCAGCATTGCCTGGTACTTGGTTCCTACAGCAGGAGAGGCAAGTAGTCAGGCTCCCAAGAGCCTCTGGGATAGGGAAGGAGATCCTCACTTCAAGGAAAAGCCTGGGAGACTAGATAGAGGGCATCATCCAAGCAAAATCCCACTAGGGCTTTAGACCACACACCCTAAAGGGCCACTGACACAGTGAGCACAGATAGATGGCTCTGCCCCAGGCTGGGTTTCACAGCCAATCTCCTAGCCTCAGACTCCCCTCCTCCCAAGTGGGAAGGGGCCTTGTTATGGTGGGGCCCAGGAAACCCTATCAGGAAGCATTTTTTAGGACAATGGGAAGGTCCTGTGGGCCACAGAGATGATGTCTGGTGGGTAGCTGGTCACATGAGTGTAGAAGACAGAAAAATTAGCTGAATCTAATAAAAAGAATTCAGGTGGCAGCTGAGCCATGGATGAGGATACTCGCTTGCAGGAAGTCTGAGAAAAAAGTGAAGAAGGTGGCTGAGGCTGGAGCTCCAGGGAGCAATGACCCAGAAAAGACAGAGAGTAAGCAACACTGAGAGGGAACCAAAGGCAGAAGAAACAGAGGGAGTTGGAGCAGTGTGACAGATACCAAGGGAGGTCACGAGCCAAGGCTTGCAGTGCCAGTTTAGGCCATTAAGTGACAGGGACCTTACTGAGCATCAGGTCAATAGGTCTTGTGACCATGGGTGGGTCTTCTGCTGTAGGACGAGTGCTAGAAAATGATCATCATGAAGATAGTTTCAAGCCAATAAGATGAAGCAACTATAGAGAACTGCAAGATTTAGGGTGGGCTCAAGAAGGAAAAGACTATATGTGTGGTTCCTCGGAAGATAATGAGAAAACAGATCTTTTGGAGAACAAGGAGGGGCTATGACCCTCTCTGAAAAGCAAGGACATCTTTCAGCAACCCATTAACAGCAATCTGGGCAAGGCTGACATGAAAGAACTGCCTCAGAGAGGGCTCCTTCTGCCTGGAATAAAACCCCTATTGCAGTAGCTTATCTGCTTCAGACACCAGGGTCTGCTCTCCCTGGAGGCACAGGAAGTAACAATGTAGGGAGGAAGTTGGGAACAGTAAACACAAGATGGAGTTTATAGGCAGGCCAGGGACTAGGGAGCTTCTGGAGTCCGTTTTCCCTCTCTACAGATATCCTCTGACCCTGTAGGCCCAAAAGCCTGCATGAATGGACGATGGTCTTAAGGCGTGAGCTGGAGGTGCGAGCTGGAGGTTGAAGTTGTTGTGAGGTTGGAGTCTGGAGATAAGTACAAAGACATTAGGTAGCTAGAATTCACAGGCCTTAGGATTCTGGCTGAGTGAGCTGGAGCTCTGGAGCTGGACTAAGCTAGGTCCATGTGGGCCTCGTTATGGCACCCACCAGCAGTATGACTATGGTCAAGTTACCTAGCCTCTCTAAGTCTCAGTCTCCTTACTTCTAAATAAAGATAATGCCATCAATTTTAAAGAGTTTGTGCCAAGAATTCAATGACATGACATATTAAGAAGTCTCCTATGATTCTCAGGGTGCTACTGACCAGGAGCTATTTTCAACATGTCTTCCACAGGCCGAGAATGTTAAGACTGGCTCCTGGCACTCAGCATCCTCCCCAGAAGCCAACTCAAATGTCTACTCCCTAGAGAATACTCCTGGGAGAGTGACAGCTGAGCTGAGTGCTAAGGGGCAGTCAGACATGGGGTAGCCAGCTGATGTGGGTAAAGGTATTCCTGCAGAGGACGTGAGATGAACAAAGGCGCTGAGCCATGGCTGAGAACAATGGGCAAGGAGGCCAGGGAAGTGGGCTCATGCAGGACCTCTAGGACCTCTAGGACCTCACACAGGAGTTTGGGTTTAACCCTGGAAGCACTGTGACCAGGAACTCATGTGAACACAGGTATGCGTAAGACCACAAGGAGAATGGTCTTAAAGAGTGAGTTGAAGGTGTGAGACAAGTTAGAAATGTATTTTAATAACCCAATTGAGAAAGAAATGGTTGTGAGGCTGGAGTTGGGGGATAAGTACATTAGGTAGGTAGAATTCACAGGCCTTAGGATTCTAGCTTAGGCAGCCAGTTTAGGACACATGAAGTTGGAGGAGTCCATGGAACATCCAAGCAGGGCTGCCTCGTGGGCATTTGCCTACACTGGTTGGAAGCTTGGGAGACAAGCCTTGGCAGGAACACAGATCTGGATGTCATCCACATATAGGCAATACCTCAAGTGATGGAAATGGTTGTGTTCACCTGAGGAAGGTGCCTAGGGAGACAAGGAACTAAGGGTCAAGTCCTAGGGAGTCACTCTCTTCCACCTCGCATCCCCATTCAGGACACTCAGGAACTGAAGTCTGATTGTAAAAGGTCAAAGCCAGGGTACGGCTCTTTCCTCCCACCAGCCAATCTCACAGCTTCAAGGTGAAGATCTTGAAGTGCCCTGAGCTGTCTTTTCTCCTGGCCTCACGGCCTGGTTTGCTCCAAGACCTGAACTGAGGCAGAAATGAGAAGTCCACACCATCTCCTGTTGCCTCATCAGACTCCTTATACCAAGGCTCCAGACCATGACCAGCCAATAACAGAGTTCCTCTGGTTGTATCTCCTCCAGGGTCCCCATGGGTGAGGTGACATCTAAGATCTAATAGAGTCAAAATGAATCCCTTGGTTTATTGGTCTCTAATTCACCCAAAACATCTTTTTATAAACCCTGGGGCAGTCCATGGGAAAAGAGGCGGCCAAGTAAGAGAGAGATGACCAGAAAGGCCAAAATAGAAGAGGCAGAGATTGGTATATCAGGATTCACAGGAAGGGAGAAGATCCGCAAGAATGGGGCAATCAGTGTGTCAAATGCCACTGGAAAGTTAAAGGATGTTATGTCTGAAACCTGTCCACTCACTTGACCAGCCAAATGGCCACTGGTGACCTTGCAAGAACAGGATCAATGAAAAGTGCAGGAAAGGCCAGACACTGTGATTGCCGGAGTCGATCCAGCAGCCTAACCAGGACGGGGGAAGAGATGGATCTGCAGCAAAGACTCCAAAGAGCTTCAGATCCTGAGGGAGACGTGTAAGATGGGCAAGAACAGAGCCTATGTGAGAACTTATGGGAAAGTCCAGAGAGGTGGAGACAGAATGAAGAGAAGCAGAGACTGTAACTGAGGGGACATAGGACAAAGGGCAGAGATCAGCCTTGGACAAAAACAAACTGGAGAGGAGGATGGAAGCAGATCTGGATGCAGACTTGTGTGATGCTCCGGGTACAGACGTGGAGGTTCCTGAGCAGCAGCCTCGGCTAACATATTGGGAGGTGGCAGGGTAGGGGCTGGCGGAAGCAGCTGTCATGGAAAGGGCACCAACTGGGGACCCAGAAGAGGATCACCACCAGAGGTCGCAGCGCACATGAGGGTAGAGACCATAAGTTGGTGGTGGCTCCAATTTGTCCAGCCACCAAAGAGACACACACAAGAGACAGGCAAAGCCTAGAGTAGTGAATCACCTGGAAGTTCCCCTCTGGAAATTGTGCCTGGGTCCAGTCTGTAAGTGTCCTGAAGTCTCATCAGAGCTTTGGCAGCTCCCATCTCGTCCTCATCAGTTGGGAAGAACTGCCGCTGCACTGAGAAGTTGGCGATAAAACCTTCAAAATGAGAGTGAGAACAAGAGGTTACCCCTGATCCAGGGGCAGAATTCCACCTGGGACCAGAGGATCTCTGGTTAATGGAATCTCCCTGTCCCTTCCCTCAAAGGCTGTTTCCTCTTCCACCAGGAAGTCTTCCCTGCTGTTCCAGTCCATGGGGACTTCTTTCTTATTTCCACCGTACCTACTGCTTACGCTGCTCATTTGGAACTGAACAGAAATGGCCCCCACACTAGTTAACATTTGGGAGACTAGAAATCTTGGCTCCAAAGCACTAAGTCAGACTTGGTGGAGAGAGAAGGAACACAGGACAGAGAAGGTGCCTGAGAGGGGCACAGGAAAGGACTCAGGGAGGACCTATCAACCACCCAGTGAAAAATGAATCCCATGGAGAACCTTAAATCAGGATTATTGGGCTGGCCACACAAACACAATCTTCTAGCCCACATTTCAGGTTGAGGAGTCTAAGGGACAAAGGTAGTCAACTCTTGGAGCCCATTTGGAGACATTACTAACCACTGGCCCTTATCATCCAGAAAGGTGATGATGGCAGTCCTGGAGGTGCTGCCCTTTTCCCCCAAGATTACCAGCTGAGGGACCACCTGGCCAGGCCAAGCACCAAGGCAGGGCTGCACCAGCCCAGCATGATCCCTGAGAGACTATACTGGGCCTTGTTCTGCTCTGCAGGGCACCCCCACCACTCAGACCTGCAATGCACTCAGGGCATGAACTCCCCAATTATGGTGCTCAAGACCACCGCCTCAAGCCTGGGAGACCCCCTGACCATAGAAGTACTCCAAAGAGGTACTTCTGGGACTCCTAATCCTAGCCATAAAGATGTGTATCTCCTACAATCCCAGGACTCCAGGTGGGATCCAGGCCCTCCCACGCGTATTCATGACCTTTAATTCTGCCTGTGAGCTAAGAGTTATAATGCCAAGATCATCTTCCAGCCTCTTCCCAAGAGCAGCTGCACTTACTGCCTCCTACTTTCATGATTTCAGACTCAAACATCCACTTCTAGCTATGCCTGGGGACCCAGGGACCAAGAAGCTGTAACCTGTCTTCCTCATGGCTGCATGGTCAGGGACTCTAACGAGTTTAGAATCCAGGAAAAAAGAAAACATGCCTCCGGGAAAAGTCACACTGTCAGCATGCTCTGTTCATTTCAGGGTAAGAACTCAAACTCAAACTCAGAGATGAAACTAATCTATTGCTCTCTGAGTCTGTCCTATCTCCTTCCAGGTGACTATAAGGCTTTCCAAAGGAACCAGATGTTGACGCTGGGGTTGGGGCTACAGAAAACAAGATGGGAGAGCGAGGTCATCTGGGCAGGCTTAGCCTCCTGTAGTGCAGGCAGAACAGCCTGTTCTGAGCTACAAGCCCAGGCTGGGAGGCAGGAGTTTGGGAAAGGCAGCCGTGGTTTCTGGAGGCAGTGAGCTCACTGGGCACAGCTCCAGCCCGACTGAGCTCAACAATCCCTCCCTGGAGGCCACCCTGCCCCCAAGCCCAACCCAGTCTGGCCACATGGACTAACGTGTCTCAATCAGAGAGATGGTTAGTCTAAAGTTAATAAGCACTTGCCGTTCAGGGGAAAGCAGCAATGAAGAGATGGGCGTGGTGGCACGTGCCTGTAGTCTCAGCTACTCAAGAGGCTAAGACAGGAAGATCACTTGAGCCCAGGAGTTAAAGGATAGACTAGTGCATTATAATTGCACCTATGAATACAGAGATATGCACAAAGAAATAGGTAACAGATTGCTGATAATTTGAAAACAATCCCAGGTCCAATGATTTGACCAGTTTGACAGTATGGCAGTATGACAGATTACTGTCCAGTTATTAAAATCGTGTTGCAAATTAGTTGGGTGTGGTTGTGGATGCCTGTAGTCCCAGTTACTTGGGAGGCGGACGTGGGAGGATTGCCTGAACCCAGGATGTTGAGGCTGTGGTGAGCCTTGATTATGCCACTGCTCTTCAGCCTGGTTGACAGAGTGAGATCCTAACTCATTTAAAAAAAAAAAGAAAAACATGTTGCTAAAGAACATTGAATATAATGGCATACAGAGAAGCTGGGAAAATTCAGAAAAAGACTATATGTTTATGTCACAAATCCACCAAGAGACATGCTTTGTTTGTAAAAGAACAGGAATGAATTTAGATGAGGCCTATGCTCCCCAGCTTGCCTTGGTCCCACCCAGCTCACTTGACTCATTTTATTCTTATTTATTGTTATCTTCCTCGTGCCATCTTGTTTAAGATGACTCAATTTTTGTTAATTTGTTCCCCAAAGCAAATAAGTTTGCATCCCCTGCTACACATTATGGATTCATCTTTTAAATGTACGTGCATGTGTAGAAAGACTGTCATTTTAATAGTGCTTATCATCGGGCAACTGAATTTAGAATTGTGATTTTCTTATGTGATTGTTTTTGTAGTTTCCAAATTTTCTATAAAAACACGTATTACTAAAGTATAGTTAGAAAAAAGTATTGTTACTCAAAAAAGAGAACTAATGACACTACAAAAAGTCAAGAACTGTTCATCATTACATGATAAAAAAACAAGAACAACCAATCTCCAGGTCCCCACAGAGAAAAGAGAGAGCCACGAGACTGGCAGAGTCCACATTTACACAATGCACTTGCCCATCAACACCCAGGCCCAAGACAAGCTCAGATACAGCCACTCAGGCAGGAGCACACAAACATGGGCTCACTGGAGCACCCTGCTCGCCATGCCTCACCTGCAGCCGAGTCCTGCAGGACAAGGTCCTCCAGCGCAGGCCAGTCTGTATTCAGCCGTTTCACCAGTTTGTAGGCATTCACAGGGTGGGCCAGGTAGCCCTCAGGGTCAGCAGCTGACTTGCTGGTCAGTGCTTCCATTTTGTTGGCCCATCTGTGGAACCAGAGAAAAAGGAAGACTAACACGCCCACCCACACAGGTCTTGACCTGTGGTAATTTCTCTGGTGAGATCCAAGACCTTCTCATTAAGAGGTAATAAAAAATGAATACAGTTAACTCTACACAGATACTTCCAGCCCCTTAATCTGAATAAGAGTTGGGAGCACCAATGTAGGCAAAAAGGTCTTAAATAGAAAGGAAAATAAGTGACTTATCAGCCCAAGTACTTAGCTACTCTGTAGGACTGGCATGAAGTAACTTCCAGGCTAGCCCACATCATCCTCTCAAGGGTTTCCTCTTACAGGCACCCTAGATGGTTTTCTTGAAGGGACAAGGGAGAAGCGGGCCAACTCAAGGTGGGTGTGGGGACTTAGGACACTGGTACCTCTTAATCTTGGAAAGCTTGGCTTCCTCCATAAGAATGTACTCCTTCAGAGATTGAACCAGGTCTTTCTCAGCATAAATCAGGTCAGTCATGTGCCCTGCAAAAGAGAAAAGAAAGGACTCGTAAGAAATGGATTATGGATGTCCAGCCCCCTTCCTTCGGCACAGAACACCAGCACAGCAGCAAGTCTCCTGGACTAAGGCTACATTAGCTCTCTGGGGATCATAAGGACTTGGAGTTAAATGGGGCCTAAGCACTCACATGGTCCTAGTCCCCAACTTCAGGAAAAGAGAGTCAGCACCAAGGGGCTACTCAAGAAGAAATCACAAATCTCATTTTCCCACTGTTACCCAGTTGGCGATGTCACTGGGGCATGGACATCCTGGGGACTCACCAGTGGGGAAAAAGCCCTGAAACTTATAGACAGAAGAAAAGGATAAGCTGGATCCTCAGGACACAGAGGGTTTGCTGTTCAGAACCACTCTCTGGTCTTGAAGTAAGGTGGTCAAAAAAGGCCAGAGAGCCTGAGTGCAGCCTGCACTTCCCAGAGAGACAGCTGGTTCCCAAAATATCCACTTCATCAGGATCTCAGCAGGGAGAACAGCTACTCTGCAAGCTCCACTCTCCCCAGAACTGGTCAGAACCAGTGGATGAGGTCATCTTGCTCTGAATACAAACAGCCCTCAGGCAGCAACATCCCCTAGCATTTGAGCCAAGGTATCATCAGGTAGATGACAGTCCCATTGACACATACCAATAGAGGTGAAGAATTCAGCCTGCACATAGCTCAGGACACCAAACCACGCCATCAGCAACGTGGACATCCAGAGTTTCATGGTCACAGAAGTATCTGCAAAGCATTCAGTGACATCCACTGGATCAACATAGTGAAAAAGAGCAATTTAGGTGAGGAGACACATAACACATGTGCACACATGTACATATACTCAAACATGCCAAAATCCTGGCCTAGTACACAGAAGCTAAGAAGGATATTCAGAAGCACTAGCAGAAGGAACACAAGGTGTGAAACCAGTGGTATGTGCTCAGTTCTGGACCCTGCTCTGGGAGGCTGTGTGCCCAACAGAGAAGGTCCATCCTCTCAACTCCTGGCAACCACGTATAATATGAGAAGGCTGAATCCCAGTGGGGTACAGTCAGCTCTGGCTACAATTGTCTGTCAGTCCAAGACTCTAGCCCACTGCTTCTCATTTCATAGACTGCTGTTTGTTTCTATCTTACCTTCTAACACATGTGCCAAGATAGTGCCAAGTTCTGGGGACTGAACCCCTGCACATAAAAAGGAAACAGTACAGAAGAGACAATGACAGAAAAAACTTGACACGATATGCTCTGGGGTACCCACTTCCAAACTGAGTGTTCAATAGATGGTCAGCCAGAAGAGAAATAAAATTGATCTGTGCCAGTCTGCACCTGCCAGAAAGAGAGCTGTAGGGTGTGGCAATCCTGGGCAGACACTGCTCTTCCTGTGGTGAGGCTCCTTGGCAGACACTGTCCTCACTAGCCAGTCACTACTCATTCACAAATATTTACTGAAGACCCATAGATGCCAAGCACTGAGCTAGGCACTCAGAATACAAAAATGAATCAGTTCTTCATGGCCAAATCCTCCGGCTGGGCTGCTGACATGGGGAAGAGGCCAGCTGCTGCCTTCTCATCCATCTAAAAATAGTCACATGCAGGCCTGAGGGGAGCAGGCACAACCTGGGACAAGCCCCACTGGCAGTGGACCTCAACACACAACAGAAGTCCAGACATCATCTCTCAGCTCAGACATGCAGCCTAGATCATACGAGAAGCAGAGCACCCGTCTGTACCCCAGCTTTGCCAGTTTTTCCTCTTCCTGCTCTACTATAGCCAAATCCCACAGGAGTACTCAAATGGAAAGTTACTAAGAGAAAACAAGAAAAAAAAAGGACATACAAATGCTTTCCACCACCCCGAACATAAGCCTTATCTGACAGAATGCTAAATCTGGGCTGACTAATGCCAATTCATCATTTTTTTGCCTGCCATGGTCGATTAGAGATAGTCACACCCACCAGTCTTCATCTCACCCGTTCAGAAGAAATCTCAATCCATTGTGATTCTAGGTTAGGCTCAGAGAAGGCCACCCATAACTCCCATCCCCAAACAGATTCCTCTATCAGAAGAAGAGAGAATAAATGGTCCCATGTGTGTTCACGCCCCTGCCAAATGTCCGCAGAGCCAACAGCATGCCTGTCAGTCTATGTAGTAGGGGCCCAGAGACACATAGGACAATTATTCAACCCAAAACCTCCTGCAGGATTGAGAGTACTGAGCTATAGGGTCCATTATGGAGATAAAGCAGAAGAAAGAAGTCACTGAGAGAGGGTAAGTAGACCCGAACTAGACCTTAGATGGAGTCCAGGCCCTCCTGCTTCCAGCCATAGGTCTGCTCCCAGGCCTCACTATACTGTGTGCTCTACCCAAGGAGTCCAAAGGCCTCTCTCCTTGCTTACACAAATGCCTTTCACTTCAGGGGCTGAATGTCTGTTCCTTGTTCCTCAGAGGTTTGATACAGCCTTCTTCTGTATGTGTGTAGAGAGAGGACAGTAAAAAGCCAGAGTTGAAAGGATATTTCTGCGGACGGTGAAAAAGCAGAAACTGCCCCCTCGGAGCTGGGGTGGTGAAAGAGCAGGGCCCAGGCAGGATACCAGATTGAACACGGTTGGAAGTAGAGGACCCAGTAATTCTCCCCAGGTGTCACCAGTTGCAGTTGCATACCTCTTCAGAGATCAGGCAACAAATTCAGGGAGGAAGAAGCCTCTCAGTTCCCTTCTGTTCATACCATCCACAGCTCATACCTTATAGCATGCAGGAAAAAGCAGCCAGGTCTCTTCATTACATGAATACCAGCTGTCATTTCTCTGGAATGTGCTGTCTGGCTTAGGCTGAGCCCATCCATGAATCTCAGCCTGAAGGCAGAGCCTCAAAGAATCACAGATGGGGTTTCAGGAAATGACTTACCAAGAGCCTGCAAAGTCCTGCTCTGGCCGGAGAGGGAGATGATGACTCTGCAGGCTCAGCAAGCTGGGGCACCCCCATGCAGCTCTCCGACTGCCACATCCACACTGCCATCTCAAGCAGGGGTACCTTGGAGCCCCACTCCATTTCTCCTTACCCTGGCCTCTTAACTCAAAGGGGTTTGTATAAAGGGTCATCTAGGTAGAGTCAGGTTGGGAGGGAGCAGCATCCAAGAGGTACTGTGTCCCACAATGTGGGAAAGGCCAACGCACATCCCATCTCATACCTACACCCAAAACTGCTTAGGACAGAGTGGGAGGGAGTACATGTGCCTGCCTAGGGCCCCCACAAATTGTCCAGTGCTGCCAAAACCTTCCTGGGAGCCCTCGGAAATCCACACAGAACAGGCCTGGAGACAGGCAATGTCAAACCCCCTTTTATGAAAAACAAAGTGGCATCAAGCCTGAGCAGAAAATCAATACAGAGTTTTATCTGAGCTGCATCCCCAGAGTTTAGTACAACTTCCTTCCCATATCAAACGCATAACAAAAAGTACTTCATCACAGACTTGTTCAAATTAGGAAACTACAATAGAGGACTTTACACTTCTTCCATACAATGAATTGTTACATCATATATAAGAATGAATACTGAATACCAGCATGGAGAGATCAAAGCATACTACTAAGTGAAAAAAGAGTCAGCTTCAAACAATATGGACTCCATAATTCCACTTTTGTAAGGAAAAATTAATGTAAGTATATATATACATACAAGAAAAGTCATGTATCTAGCACTATTTTAGTGAAGTAATTTTATTTTTCCTGTATGCTTGTTTTTCTAACTTTTCTACAAGGAATTCTATAGGAACTTAAACAAATATTTTATAATATGTTTAAATGTAATGGAAACAAAGCAGGTCCTTCTCAGACAGACTCTAAGGAGGCCCTGGCAGCTCCAGAGTGTGGACCCCCACAGGGAGGTTCCACAAAGGCTGCCAACACCCCAGCAACAGTGATTCACGCACCAGGCAACTGGCACCGTTTCTAAGCACAGGGCATTTCCAAAACATACAACCAGAGGTTTCACTAAGGCTGCTCTTTGGAAAGGACATTTACAACCTGGCCAAATGGCCATGAAAAGATGTTTCCAGATGCAAACTAGCAGAGTCCTTAGCTTCTCCCCTTACTTCATCAAGCAGGACCCTCTGCCAAGCTCCCAGCTGCAACCCAAATGCAACAGCTTGAGTTTTAACAATGTATTCAACAGCCTAGAGACAGAACATGGGCTTGCTGAGAACAAACAGGTCTTGCTTGGTACTGAACAAGAGGCTGCATGCCTTCTGTGAAGGGATAAATCCTGTCTGAACAAGGCTCCCCGCCACCTCCTCCTTTCCAACCTCATGGCCCTATCTCCCAGGGCTGTGGTCAGCCAAGGATGATAGCTGAGAGGACCTGCATGCTCAACCGAGGAAGAGCTGTGCAGAAGTTCCACGAAGCCCTGCCAACGCATGCAGATGTCCATTCAGGCCCACAAGCTGCTGTCACGGATCCCAGGGAAGAACAGGAGGCATCCCACTCTCCTTATCTGATGTCATACCTCAGCAGTCACCCCAGTCTGAGCAATACCCTGGTCTAAGCCACATCTCATCTAGCCTCCCTCCCACTTCTGCACTACAAAGTAGCGGGCATAGCTTACCGTAGCCCTCCTTTGACTCTCCACTGCCATCAGGACAAAGTTCAAACTCCTTAGCCCAAAGGGTTCTTTGGATTCTGGGACCTAGATCTGCCTTCTCTAGCCCCATCTTCGCACTCCAGATTTCATATATTCAACAACTATTTCATGTGAAAAACATTCTCTTTCACCAAGAACCTCATGAAGCCTAGATGTCCATCTGTATCTTTCCTTATACTTTCTCTATCTGCCATGAACAGGTTGATTTCCACTTCCCCACTTGAGTACCATCAACCCACAAAGTCTTGTTTCAGTGACTAAACAGTGAAGTAGCAGAGAAGACTACTAAAATGGATGTGCAAAAGCCAACTTGGATTTTAAGTTGTCGTCTTGACAGAGACTTGACAGCCTGTGTGAGATTAACTCATAGGAAGGAACTCTACATGAGAACAAAATCCATATACCACTATATTGGATGGCTCTTGCATACCACCTTGTATTCCTCTTGGTCTCATCCTGGACTGCTTGCATAGCCACAACCCAGTGGAGAAGACTGTGCAGGCCCTTGCCAAAATCTCTGGTTCCTCCCACTACTTCCAGACTCTGATGAAGTACCACATGGGTCTCCCCAGTGGCTACCAAAGGGCTCTGGTAGTACAACCAAGGAGTGAGGGGGAGTTAAGTCCTTGTGAGGTAACTGCCCAATGAAGGACTGGAGATAAGAGGAGATCAGCAGATAAATTCAGGCCTCCAGCAGTCAACTATTCTGAGACATGGAGTTCCTACAGAATTTACACAGAGATGTCCTGAATGGCTGAACTAGTAGTACACTTCTGCACAGAGTAGCCAGCTTTCCAAACACCACCTTGTATTTGCTTCCCATACTTCTCTACTTCATTCTTCTCCCTCACCCTGGCTGCCCTGCAATTACATCTTCCAATAAAGCACTAAGTACTTAAGCCCTGCCTCAGGCTCTGTTTTCTGGGAACCTAGTCTAGGATAATCACTATTTATGTTTCCAAAAATCTTTCATTTCTAACCTCTAATTCTCACCAAAACCTTGTAAGCTAGATAATCACCTCCATTTCAGGTGTAAGATGTAAAAGATGGATAACTGGGGTTGAGAGGGTTTCCTAAACATCTGACTGCAGATCCATGACAGAATTGAGACTCAAACTCAAAACATGCTTTCTGCTGGATATTGCTGGCATCCAAATCCTACTCAGTAATACCTGTTACCTTGCAGCACAGTGGCCTCCCACACAGGGGAGCCATACTTTGTCCTGGCAGAGCATACCTGCCCAGGTTAAGGATTTTATCATGGTTTATCCTTAATGTTCACAAAGCAATTTCATGACATCCCTGGTAGGATCCTGTCTGGAGGAGGAGAGCGTCACGGACCCAGAAAACAGCAGCATGGTGCTATGAATTCAGGTGGACAGTTGCTCCTACCCAAAACATCACAGTACTCACAAAAAACTACCCAGCCCAGCCCAGGGCAAAGTCATGTAGTCCAAAGGACAGGTATACCTGCCCAGGAGTCAGATAGACCAAGACTATATCCCAGCCCTACCAACATTTCCTGACTTTGTGGCCCTCAACAAGCGATAGGCTTCTCAAAGCCCCAGTTTCCCCATCTATATGATGGAGATAATACTAGGACCAATTCTATTGTGGCTATAACCAATGGAAGAAAAAATACTAGGACCTACATTTTGCAGGGCTGTTGTGAGGATAGAATGAGATGACAGATGTCAGCAGATATCACAGTACCAGGCATAATTTATGTCAATCATCAGCACCAAGGACATCAGAGAAATATCAGTGAACCTGAAATAAACAGCCTAAGTCAGCTGATTCCTGGATGAAGAAGAAAGTCCACACTAAGGGACTAAAATTGCAAATAGGCAGAAACTGGGTGACCTCCATGTCCTAGGAATGCCAGAAAAGATGAAACATTTAATTCAGGAGAGACTGGAGTCAGGTGTAATGCAGTACATTGACCATCGGGGATAACCCTGGAACTGGTCAATCACTGGCTCTAAAGCTCATCAAGGAAAGTTATCTGGCAAAAGGCAGGGGGCTGAACGGCTACTCTAGGATCTCACATACTTCTGTGCCTCTGACCTGCACATTCCAGGCTCCTACAAGTACCAGTCCTCAGGATCTCAGTTACACCCTGGCCCTTAGGAATGCCAGAGACAGAACAGGCTACACGCTAGCAGCACTTCTGAAAGGTCTAGGGCAGACAGATCTCATCTGAGCTGGAGAAGATACTATCCAAACACTTAAACCTCTGCCCTTTAATGACACCACTTCCAGGGAATCCAAGAAATCTAGTCCACACTTTTCACTCCCCTCTGCTCTTTGTGAGAACAAAAATTGTCTTTTTATCCCTCATTCCATGTCCCTAGCACAAAACTCACAGACAGGACTCACCAGCTCCCTTTGCTCTAGGATACGCTGATTTTCCAACCTAGGAAACTTCAAAAGTTCAAATTGCTAGATTTGAGCAACTTTTTCAAAGTTTAACTCTCACTCCAGCACTCTGCTGGGCTAGCACGTGCCCGCATCACAGCTTTCCCAGCCAACGTCCATCTGCATAACATTAAACTCTTGACAGATCCCAAGAGCCAGGGCCACACCCCCCAGCCCTCTGCACACTATCAGCCAGCGTGGCCACAAATCAGCCAAGGCCTCAGACCCTCCCAAGGATGTGAGAGAGCAGAGTCAAAAAGGGAGGTTCTCTCAGGAAATAAGAAGACCCTAGATTCCCTCACCCCACTCATTTCTCAGAGATACACCCACGCAATCTCTTCCTTTGATGAGCACTCACAGCCGGGCTCCTCCCCTGGCACATGGCTAGCTGCCAGGCTAGAACAGCAATCTCAGAGAGATTATGAGCTACCCACAGGCAAGAATAGTGCCTGGGTCACCTCTCCTCCTCCAGCGGCAAAGTAAGCACTCTCTTGGATACCCTACTGCAGAGCCTGTGACAGGATAGAAGGGCCTATCATAAGCCACAGACAAGGCCTCAACTTAGCTGTGTCCATGTTGGCCTGCTGAGCTGTCGGAGAACTAGGGTAGTCCAGAATGACAGCATCTTTGGGATGAGGCTCCCTGCCGACTCACTCCAAACTTACTACGTGGCTTCACTGGCCAGACTACAGAGTGGACATTCTTGGCTGTGAGAGCAAGAAGGCCCTAGGAGAAAATAACTCAAAGCCCAAACATGCTGTGAGTGGGGGAGAAGCAAACAGAGAGGCTGAGCCCTGAGACCAGAACCACAATGAGAGACTGCACCCTGGACACTTTAGGGCAGTTTAAGCACAAACCAAAGGTAATCCTGGTTCGCTTAACAGAGAACGAAATTATGGAACCTATTGTCTCAGATATAGTAAAGCTGAGAACAAGCACAGGCTTGCAAAAACATCCTATATGTCTTCAGTGAACAACAAATCTCTGAAAAGTTTGGGACACTTGAGAATGCCCCAAGTTACAAAGTAACATCTTTCAACCCTTGCTCTTAGGACCAGGATCTGGGGTTGTCAGGCCCCAGATGGACTACATCAAGAAGCACAAATCTTGGGTGTCAAGCGTCTCAGTCTTGAGAGGGGCCCCAGGGCTCTACAACACCATGTTAAAGGTGTGAGATTAGAACACAGAGGCCAGCAGTCCACCTGTGCTGCCCAGCAATACCTGAGGCAAGAAGTGTCTCCACCCAGGCTCACACTGCAAGGGTTCACTGGGTACCTTCCACGTGAAGGGCACAGCACCAGGACTGTCCTCTCACTCCAGGCTCTTGTGGACAGGGTCCATGGGCATCTATGCCCTAAGTGTCCCTTCCCCATTACTTTGCTTCCACTAGAGTGCCATAGAGCATGACGTTGACCAAGGTCTGCTCCCACTCACAAGGCTGTTCCTGTGGCTATGATACCCTTTTGCCAGTCTTCATCAGACCACTCCAGATCATGGGTCGCTTCTTCCAGGAAGTCCTCTGGCCTGAGACATCCAGTCCTCTACCAAATACATAGCCCGTGCTCCCTTCCAATACAGCACTCACCACACCGCTAGGGTCCTGGACTTTCCCGGTCTTCCAGTTCGCCTGCCGCACTGGACTAGCACCTCCTTGCAGTTTCTGACACACAGCAGGGTTTCCTTGGTGGAATTAGTTAACTAATGACCACGGTCTCTGCAGCTGCTGAGGAAAAAAACCGCAGGTTCGACAGGGATGTCTGGGGAGAGAAAAGACTAGCTGATCCAACTACCCATCTAATGGGCACCAAGCTGGACCTTGCCTGGCCAAGAGCAGACTCCCAGCCCTTGTGAAGGTGCCGAGTGGGCCCCACCGACACCAAGCGGCCCTTCGGGGCAGGCCGACGCCCCCGCCCCGGGCAGCCCCGGGGTCAGGCGCCCCCTCCTGGGG